AGCTGCGCTGGCAATTTTCTACAACGTAGAACAACAAAAACAGAAAAAGTGCAATAGAGACATCTACAGAGCTTGGCGAAAAGTACGACAAACTCCTTCGGAAAAAATCTAATTGCATCAGAGCAAATGACGGTAAAACAAATCAAAATATAATGATGCTTGGGCACTGCTGACTTGCTTTTTTACTGCTTGTCTAAGGATGTATAACTCTGTCTAATAATGTATAATGTGCTTTAACTTTCTTTTTTTTTTTTAAAAAACTTTTGCAAAGTGAGGCCCTGTACGAGCAGTTATTATACTGTGCTTTGAAGGGTTAGGCGAACAGTCGTATGCCTTGAGAGGGAGACATGCAGTTGCGGCAATTTCAAATGAATGAACTTCTATGTCCGCATGCTTGGGCGGTTTTGAAGAACAGCAGCTGAAACCAGGCCAGTATTTCTCTTTTTACTACAAGAGGATAACCTCCTTAGAACTTATGAATTTCCAGTGAATCCGATGCCAGATGAGAGTTTTATGGGTAATCCCAACAGAGGTTCTGGAAGATGTGGTCCTACCACCTAAAGGGAGAAGGAATGCAGGAAGGCCGAGAAAGGAAAAAACTCAAACCTGCTGTCGAGAGAAAGTCTAAGAGGGCGTTTTCATGTTCTATGTGTGGACAAGTGGTTACAATAGAAAAATATGTAGGAAGTCGACAAATAAATAGTTGGAAACTAAACACTTCCTATTACATATATTTGTCATGTTGAGTAGTTAGTTTCACAAACAATAGGTTACAATATTAGTAGTTAAGTTTCACAAGCAATTGGAATTACAAATGTCAATAAAGAATTACAATTTACACTATATGTTGCCAATTAATGTTAAATATATTTCATATATATGTTTTGATTATCCAATAAATGTGTGTGCTATTTTTATTGGTGCTAAATATATTGATAGAATTGTACAAATGCAAAACAAAACTGCAACAATCAATGGTATTATATTGTATACGATGTAGTAAATGGAGTATAAGTTTGTATAAAACTGTTATAACTTGTATTATTATTGAATACATATGTATAAACCCTGCAGCATAACAAAATTGCAACCATAACGAAAATTACTACTTTGTTAAAGGACCAAAGCAACTGAAATATTTCATTAAATATAAATTCATTCACATCCACAATGTATAATGATACCAACAATTACACAAAAATAAAACATCTATAATATCATTTAAGGTTATCTCACAAGTAGCAGATATGTATTTAGACAAAACTAGGCAACAACTCCTGATACATAGCAAAACTACATTAAAATGAAAAAACAGAACCTACTTTCTCGGTCGTCCCCTCTTCTTCTCTGAAAAGGTCTTCCCTGTGATTTCAATCACCACTAATTGCACTGGACTGTTGTTTTTTCCTTTCCATAATCCCACAACAGAGATCCCCACCTGCTGCGAAGTGTCTCAATGTTAAAATTATCCTATTGATTTTCTTACCAAGGATAAAATACTCAGCAAAGCCAGCAACAAAAGCACCACAATCACTATAATTAAAAAAAAATCATATTCACTGTACGTTACTGTAATAGGTACGCTAATTAGTAAAATAATTCAGATTACCTACCATTTGATCTGTTGAGGACATTATTAACCAGATTAATCTGCAAAGCTCAGAATGGGATTTATCTGTATATGCACCATTGTTCCAATCAATGGCCCTTCTTCTAGACATAAAATCAGAACTCTTCAAGAAGTAAGGTATCAAATTGCATAAGGTAATGCAGCATCCAACAGTCTATCATTAATAGCTCCACGGTTAGATTCATAGATGTGGATGC